GGTCCATTCTTGTAGTCTCCACAATGGGGCCCATGGGGCAGAATCTTGACTGCCAGTAACTACTCCAGACCGAAAATGTGGAAAAAATAAAGGGTCACGTAATTACAACAGCCTTCGGCTAAAGTTGTTACTGTTTTTTCTATCCCAGCGAAGTCATCCCGCCAGCAACAAGAAGATTTAAGCAGGCTTATCACACGTCAGATGCCAGATTAGACCCAATATTCTCCTGCGACCACTTTTGTCCGACCAATTTAGAGTAGTATAATCTGAAAATGAGGAGAATATTATTGCTACAATATCATAGAAATGATAACAACTCGACCCTTCCGGTCTTGCCTTATCGGAACCTGGAATATGTTTATGAGACTACCCTAGCCCGCGTAAATAACAAGTGATCAGACAGTGCGGCTCCGGCTGTAGATCAGTTTCTCGATGCTCTCTCAAAGTAAATGTATAGGCTGCCCATTGCCGCCGGACACTAGCGTTGCCGTGTTAGCTGTGTTGTTTTGTCCGTTGAATTTTCGGTCACAGTTTGTGTTGTTGTTTTTACTACTCCGTCGATAAAGACTTTCCTTGAAACGTTTGGTTGTATTTGTGCGCTAGAGAAAAAAGGTGTCGGTACGCAGCAAAGTGTTAAAAAAAAGTACCAGTACTCACCACAGTCGTGTATAAAAATGACGCTCAAATAAAGCCCCTCGGAAAACATTTTGCTTTCTGGTTTATAGCAAGGATGCGATATATTCATCTTTCGGACCAACAGATCACGTTGAAACAAATTCCCAATAAGTCGCGTTTCACTACATGCTTATTATTGACATCCCCTTGGGGACTCGGAATCCATACGCCATCTTAGTGTGTAGTAATCTGGAACTAGTCACGAACTCAGACCCAGCTACACTCTAGCTGACCTGTCATTTATGATTTGTCAGGCTGGTGTACGCTATATGGGTGTAGAATGCACTCTCTAGTGAGACCTAGGTTCCGTGTGTCGGGTATGGGTGGGGGGGGGGGGTGTTAGGGCCAGTTGTATATGTAAGTGAGTCGTTTAACCGCTCACATTCTGTAATATAGAGCACCCATGATCGACAGTAAGACCATCTAGACATTACAGCGTCGCGCCAGCCTGAAATCCCTGCCACTTAAACTTAACGTCTCAAAGGTTAAGACGCATGAATAAACGTCCAGACACGTTGTCCTGGCCCGACTTCGGCACTCATAAAGTGTAGCTGGGCCCGAGTTCCTCACATGTTCCAGTAATCTAACCATAGCAAACGCTCATGTTAAAAAGTCAGCCTTATGGTGTCTTCCAGAATATTCCCTATTGTCCCGATCCCATCATATTTCAGGTTTCCCCTGGGTTATTCAAGTCCACGCAAGGTCCAATACAAAAACAAAACTACAAATACAAAAACAAAAATCAGAAACCCGAGGGACATCGCAAGTTCATAGCTTGGCTGGTGATTACAGATTGTCAGAAAGAAGTTTGTATACTTAGGAAGTCGAGCGCCTTAGCGTGTTTATTCTCTTTAGCAATTTATAGCTTCAGTTGGAAACAGGCTGGTTGTTTTCAGTGTGCATGTTTGTGCTGTTTAGAGGTGATCTGCCCGGCTCTCTAGCGAAGTTGGTTAAACCGGACTTTCGCTGCGGCCGGGTGACGAACTCCTTGTGGTCCGGGTTCACTCCCAGGGGTAGGCAGAAAAGCCACATTTCTCCCAGATTAACGGTACCTATAATGGAATCAAGGCCGAAGGGTTGCGATATCCATAGTACCGAGCCAAAGGGTTTACAACTCATGGTTTCTGGATACGTAAAAAAAAAAAAAAAAAAAAGGTGATCTCATTTTCATTTTGTTGTTCCTTTCAATGAAAGTTCATCTATTTTTTTTTTCTTTGTATTGTTGCTACTGTTGTTTTGTTATTATTTTTAGTGTTGCACTGCCGCTGCCCCTGTATACTTTTATGACAGTTTGATTCATCCACGGCAAAGGTGGCTTTGTTTAACTTGCTTATATATAAAAATCGTTTTGCAAACCTATTTAGCACGTAAGGTTTTTAATTTAAGTATGTGTCTGTGACAGTTAGACAGATCTGCTCAGCTCACGATCTGTATCAGGAAAGCAAAGCCTAGGTTCTCGAACGTCTCCCTTCAGGAACAATTCTGTTTTTGAACATGTGAGGTGAAGAAAAAAAAAGGGGGTGGGGGCGGCGTCTTAAATTTCGAACAGAATTTTCTTTCCTCAATAACTAATCTTGAATCGACCCCTTTCATGGGCTGCGATTGTGGCCAAAGGAGCAAGTAGCTATGAACTCGGCCTTGAGTCTGTTGCAGTTGCGTCACTGGGCAAAAACATGGGCTTGGGAACGGACAGTGCTCATGCAGAGTGTAGCCGAGAGCCACAAGAACGAGCTTGCCACTGAAGAACTAAAACACCCTCGAGGGACAGAAACACCGACCTCAGCAACTTTCTTTAACGAAATCAATTTTCCGTTGGGCAAGTTAAGGGAGACTGAAGTTTGGTAGATAATTATTCTGTTCATTTTGTTCCTTTCTTTTCTGTAAAACTTAAAAAAAAAAAAAAAAAAAGAATGTACATTTCCATTATTTTTCAATACAGTTCTATGTTTGAAGTAAGTTAGTGAAACAAGATTTCAACGTGATTGCTTTCTGATAATTTATACTTAAAAAAAAAAAAAGATTTACACAGGACAACAGTGTCAAGTGTCTGTTCATAAATGCTTGCACAACAATTACAATTATTTTTAACAAATAGTTTACCATATCAACAAGATTTAAAAGTCCTGTATTCATAACTGCGCTGTGATAAAAAAGTTTGACAAACTAGCCTAATTCACTAGGTGTGTGTGTGTGTGTGTGTGTGTGTGTGTGTGTGTGTGTGTGTGTGTGTCTGTGTGTCTGTGTGTGTGTGTGTGTGTGTGTGTGTACACACACACACACACACACATGTAAAGTAAAAGACTCAGTTCCACGCCTTTAGGCTATTGGGCATGTAGGGCTATACTGATATTTGATAGACAAAAACGGTACTCGTTGTGTGATGTGATCAATATCCCGCCGGCCACCTTTACTTTCCATGACTATACTACTTGTACCCACTCAAGGTTGGGTGGACTTGGGAGCCAAGGTCATTTTTGAAAAAAGTCCAGCTCCAATAAAACTTGAAGCCACGACCTTCCGACAGCAGGCCAGCGTCTGCGTATGCGCGTGAGTGTGTGTATGTGTGTGCGTGCGTGTGTGTGTGCGCGCGCGCACGCGTCGTGTGTGTGTGTGTGTACATATAATTCTTCTATCACTTCGAACAAATTTCTGCCGTCTTGTGTCTTTCAGTTGATAATTTTATTTTTATAATGGCTCCTGTGTAAGTTTGTTCTTGTTACCTTTCTAGTGAGTTTGTGTTGATAATTGCTTCACAGAACTACTGTTTGCAGCTATATTGACAGTTCCTGTGTGAGATAAAGATTCGCTTGTTTTGCCGCTTATCCCATGTAATCTACGGCGCAGAGTGCTCTCTGCTCATCAAAAGCTCACCGACTCACCAGAAAACTCCAGAAGTTTTCACAGCGGTCTAGCTCTTTCTTGAGTAAACATTCAACTGTTTGGGGAACACATGTGTCCTGCTGTTTTCCCCGCATGTGATAACCTGGGTATCATGCTATCGTCATGGCTTGGTCTGCTTTGATCTTCAACGTTTACGGTTTGGAATCTGTTCTCGGGTACATGTTAGTGAGTGCTGTCTTGAGCTTTCGAACGGAGAGACACTGTTAACCAATTGCGTGGTGAAATAAACATTTGCATTTTAATTATATAGGCAGTGAAGGTTGGCAAGAGTGCAAGCTTACAAGTGAACAATAAATATCACTCAGTAGTACAAAATAAATACAACATTTGAAACGTGTGCACTGAACCTCAACTTCTTAATGTATCATCAGGAATTGCTCTCGAAAGTTTGAAACGATAGTGACTCATAGGACCAAATATCGAATGACAAATGCAGATTCTCTGTTCAGCCTTACGATTTGGTTATATCTGTGACACCCACCGATTACAGCAAAGGTTACCGTGGCGACCCTTGCTGTTCTGAGTAGGTGAGAGATAAATGGACAGCAATAACTGCGTCTATGGCTTAGGGTTTGCGAGCGCAGTGTGCAATTCCTGATATCCGATTTAGTTTCAGCTGTGCGCGATATGGTAGCAGACATCGTTGACTTCTGTAAAAGTATCTACAGCTGACTCCTAAGGTTTGCAATGGCAAACTTTTCCTTCTTCATTTTTTTTTTTTTTTAATTTACCGCTTTTGGTATCGAGAGAGATAAACGGTTCTGTTTATTGCTTTTCTAGCCGCCTCGACCAAAGACGTATCGTGCTGCTGTAGACTTCTCTGATATTGTTTTTCCATGTTATTCTTGGTCTAACTCATGGTCTACGTCCTGACTGTACGTTAAAGAAAGTGAAATTACCTAGTAAAACCGTAAACAGCCACACAAACCCCCCCCCCCCCCCCCCCCAAAAAAAAACAATACCGGGGTGTACAAAGTATATAAGTATACAAAGTATATCAGTGACCTCGAATAATAGAACTGAATACAAAAATTAGTTGCTTATCCTTTACAGGACTTTGCAAAAACAACCAAAGCATTTTCGGTTGAGGATTTTCTAGGCAAATGTTACGTTCAGTAGTTTGCCATTGCTTTTTGAAAAGTCAACTCTGGGTACTTTCGAAGCCAGCACAATACAAATCGTCCGCAGTCGGAATCGAACCCGGAACCCCGACATTACAAAGAGCGTTGGTAACGCCTAAGCCACAAAAGACTACCCTATTTAGCGTCATACGTCATGGACAAGAATGGACGAAGCTTAGTGCCACACAGCTTAGCATTTGCTACCACACCAACTAGTTTGAGACTGGAGGTGGAGACAGTGATTGTAGCGTTCCACCAGCGTAAGAACCACATGCACACTCCTATAAAAACCTTATGTTGCAGGTACCTTGGTGTAGCCAGTTCATACCAGATTCTTGCTGAAGAGGTGCGCCACAAGCCGGACATTGCCTGCTCCAAGCTGGGGTTTCTACAACCACATCAGAGAGAGATCTGCAACCACGACTTAAGGCTGCTGGACGTCATCAGCCGAGGAGCTTCCATGGGCATCGAAGAATGCCAGTTCCAGTTTCAGGATCGCCGGTGGAACTGTACCACGTACAACAACACTAGTGTCTTTGGTCCGGTGTTACAAATTAGTAAGTATATGCACCGGTTACTGTTTAAATCAATTAGGTGCCGTCTTCACAACGAAGATTGGCTACATGAATCTCTTATTATAGTTATTATAGTGTTTATATTGCAGGAGTATGGCTACAAGAACATAACTGGGGATGGGGCGCGATCTCTTCTGGGGACGGCAAAGGACTCAGTAAAGTAAGTTGCGCGTCGTTTACAGGACGTTGCAGAACCAACCAGGGCGTGTTTTGGCTGTTTTGTTTTTTTAAGGCAAATTTACGTTCAGTAGTTTGCCATTACTCCTCAACTGTCGACTCTTGATACCACCGTCGCAACCAATGCAAGGCGGTCTTCTGTCAAATAGCCTGCTGCTGGGATCGAACGGGCACGCCGATATACGGCGCATGCATAACGCCTTAGCCATAGACGTTTACACAAGGTGCTTAAGGCTGGTCTAATTTAAAATAGGAAACGTAATCTTACTTACTTAGTTGCTCCTCTTCTACCTTGGGGTGTAGAGGTTTGCCAGAGTTCTTTATCAGCCGTTTTCATTCTGGCTTTATTTCATTCCAGTCCTCTGTCAGTTACGGACTGTCGGATGTGGTATTCCCAGCGGACCCTGGGTCGCCCTAAAGGTCTGATTCCCTGGTTCTTAGCCTCCCTTACCTGTCATAGTGGCCGATTTTCTCCCATTCTGCATACACATCCAAACCATCGTAACTGTGACTGATCCTCTCGAGTTTGTAGGACCTGGATTTCAAGATCTTGACGAATTCTGATTGCGGACATTGTCCCGTCTTGTCACTTGCACCACCTTTCTCAGATATCTCATTTCTGAGGCCTGAAGCTGGCTTCCTTGAGCTGTTGTCATGGCTTATGACCTACACCCATATGTCACACCCATATGTCACACCCATATGTCAGGACTGGCAAATATGTAGAGCGGTAAATAGCCAATTCGTTCTTTTGCCAACTTCTCATTTGCTAAGAAACGCTTGGTTTATAGCCGGACGAGTCTCTCAGCAGTTGCTTTTCGTGTAGCCAGCTCGTTCTTAATGCCTCCGTTTCGGTCTATTACAACTTCAAGGTATTTGAACTGGTTGACCTGCTCCAGTGCATACTGTCCCATCATGATCTGGTGTTTCTTCTTCTCTCTAGAGATTACCATGCTTTAGTGTAAACTTTATCAATTTAATTATTTTCCTTAAAATCTCTTTCTTTGTGTTCCCCTTTTTGGTTCCGGGGCTCCATTGTGGGGAGGGACAATTAGTAGTCCCACTGCCTCCCACACAAGCATGTCGTAAGAGACGACTAATTAGGGGTTTCCTTTAAGTCGGAGTGCATCTATCAGAGAGGCAAGGAACCAGCAGGCTGCATACATACAAACGATATTTATAAAACTGATGTACAGGAAAAACTCAAGTTCTACAACAAGACTAAAGTCTAAAAGGGGACGAACAACCAAAACTTGCCACCGGAGTTTACAGCCGGCGAACGCGAATAAGAAGAAGAATCACGATGTCAGAAGATCAACCTATGAAGTAAATTTATACCTGTAACGGCTACATTAGCCCAGTGTAACAAGCAGTCCTGTGCGGGTAAGTATGGCAGGTAGGCGATTCTGATTTTCGCTCTTATCGGACAGGAGATACCTGGTTCTGATTCTGGCTCATATGAGCTGGGAAATACGGGGTTTTCATTCTCGCTCATATGGGCTGGGAAATACGGGTTTTTGATTGTCGCTCTTCCATGAGATACGGGCTTCTGATTCTCACTTTTATGAACCCCATTTACTATACACAACTAATACTGTTGTTGAGTTTCTCTTATGTTAGCTTTTCCTTTTGGTGTTGGTCTACACATTTCGCTACTTACCTTATATATAAAGGCGGCCGGCATGATGTTAACCACATCACCCACCAAGTGCCGTTTGGTCAATAAAATATAGGTCTAGCCCTATATGCCGAATACTCCTGAGGAAAATGGTCTTTTAATTGACTGTTCCTGAAACTTGGATTTCCTGGGAGCCAATGCTATTTTACAAATATCTGACTGATGAGTATCCGAACGTAAACTGTCCGGCCTGAAGTCGAGTCTAGCTACTAAGTGAATGCGGCTCCCGTGTTTTTATGTTTGCTTAATAAAGTATTACGTTACAGTGTGTTCTCTCTCAGTGTGTCAACTATTTTTTCTTATATAATTCAGATTTGCTCCTGGTCGACCTCTTTATTTTTAATGACCTCACTTCCGGTGAGATCTTCCTAGCCATCCCACTACAGTGATTGCTATAATAAGTTGATCTGCGCTGTTGAAGTTTGTATACACACGGGAACTCCTCCAATGTTCGCCATTAATCAATTCCCGAGGGGAGGACGCATATTAAAATAGACGAACATCAATCAAGTTTTCCTTATAGGCATTAACCATTTGTTATTGTTTTATAATTGTGACTAAATTTCCTGGTCAGATGAATAACTTTAATTCCTACATAAATACATTAACAACATTTTATTAAAAATAAATTAACATTTTGGATGAGAAGCAATTGGCTATTGTAAAAGGCAAAAGGTTAAGTCGGGAGATGTGAACCTGCGTCATTGCACACGGTTATAAACCATAAGTTCTCTGCCACCAGTACGGACTGTTGATCAGAAACTCTCCGCCTGTGTCACCGTAGCTACAGCAATGTTCCTCCATTTACCTGATGATTGATGATTGGTGATTGATGTTCTGACGGTTCCTTAGCATTTCCAGACGATTCACCACACTCATTTACATATTTATTAATTATTATTATTATTATTTTTTAAAGAAGTTATCAGTGTTGTTTATTTTGTTCTGTTTTTAAGAGATGCTCTGAAAGTGTCATAACACATCGTCATTAAATGAGCCGAAACTCTGATTAACTATAACTCACATTGATAACATCTATAAAGAAACTAAGCAGACAAGGACTGTGATAGACCAATGAGAGGAAGGCACAAAGCCAAAGGGTTTCATTAAATAACTAGTATTTGCCGGACAGAACTGCACGATCATATAAATGATTTTACAAACAGCGTAACATGCAAATTAAATTCACCAAAAACAGAGGTAATGACTATTGCCAAAGTAGTCAAAACAATTAATATTCAGTCTACAGAACACCATATGAAACAGACCAAAACCTCAAATACCTAATAATATAATAATATCATCAGCCGGAAAAAGAATAGATGAGATCAATAACAGATGTAACAGAGCAAACCAACTCACTGGGCTAATGGTACCAATATTAGGAAACAAATACATGTCAGTAGAAATCAAAAGAGAACTCTATGGCACAGTCTTCTTGCCAGTCCTGTACAATCAATGTCAAGCCTAGAAAATGACAGAAACAGAGAAAAGAAAAATTGCAACTGAAATGAGATTCTCACGAACAGCTCTCAATATAACAGAAAGAGATAAGATCAGGAACGATGAATTCCAGAGTAGAGTAAAAGTGGCGGCAGGTCTGGATTTATTTAGAAGACAACAGGTGAAATGGTTGAGCCATATAACGCGGATGTCAACGAACAGTATACTACAGCAAACAATGATGTACAGACCAGGCGGGAGGCAATAAGAGGTCAACCATGCAAATATAGACTAAGGGGACAACAGAGTGTCTGGGAATTTCCGCTTACGAAGCACACAAACAAGCACTTTCACGTAAATTATTCTACGCCTCGACACCACCATAAAATACTAAAGGGTCAAGATAAGATTATCTGTAACAATGTTGGGGTGCCATGTATCGATGAAAACCTGCATTTCACTCAAGTGGCCAGCCATTCCTTAATTTCAGGATTTGAAACCAGCCCATCATCTTCTTTTTTTTTTTTTTTCTAATTCTCCCCCTCTTCCTTCTCTAATGACTCATCGACCACGTCCGAGGAAGGACGAATATTAGTCTTTTCTGGGCGAATATCAAAACACAATATTACGGTCAAAACAAGTTGAATTTGAAAAAAAGAACGAATATTGGAGTTCCACCGTGTGTGCGCGCGCGCATGTGTGGGCGTGTGTTCGTGCTGTACTCATGTACCATCGGTGGTACTCTGTGCGCCTAATCAAACGATTTTTTTTCGAAAGCCTGACTTGGATATTCGGAAACTGTGTTCTGTGGTTTTTCCCCGAGTATTCCCAGGGTTAGTTATTAAGACTTCATTAAATCGGCAACTGGCGTGAAGCAGTGCTGGACGGTAAAGCAAAAACAGTGTCAGAGGCCGGGGACAATGGAGAAGCGTGCGTTTGAATCTCTAAGCCAACTCAGGTTAGAACGTTGAAGGCCAGCCAGTTTATGCGTCTCCCAGTATCCAAGAAGACGATGTTGAGTGAAAGCAGATTCATGTTTACCTTGAGTGCTTTCATTCGGTGCGGCACCGGATTAAGAAAATCAGCTCTCTACACTCCCGGGGGAGCCATGTATTCCTATCAGGAATTTGTACCGTTTCAGTCTGCGTGGCCACAGAGCTAGGGCCAGGTGACTATAAACATGGTCTTTCCGGTCGGCTAGGGATCAAAAGAGTGCTTCTTGGCAGATTCGTTTGATCGAGCTTTTCTGTTTCTAATAATAACATATGCAAACAGGCAAGGGACCATCGGCCAAGAGGCTGGCGCTATTTCAAATACCGAACCACAGCCAAATAATTGTCTTTCATTATTTTCATTGTTGGCTATCTTGTTCCGTTCTAGACTTCCTTGCTCTGTCAATATTCACAGTTAGAGGAAGATATGAGATCGCAGTCTTAAGTTCATTTTCTTTGTTTTTTGTTCTTTGTTCTAGTTTTTTTTTTTTTTTGGGGGGGGGGGGGGGGGGGGGGTGTTGATTTCTATGTGCTCTCCAGATGTAACCACAACCACTCCCGATTTGTCTTATATCTTTAAACATAAAAAAAATTTCTGTTAATACAGTAGTTTTATTCGTACCCCCATACGCCTAATATTTCATCCTGTGTGTTTGTTATTAAAAAGTGTCAGTTTATGAGCATAATGTAGAGGACGAAAGCTGGAACACGTCGTGAAACGGGAGAGTTGACTTGGAAGTATGGCAGACAGTAGCCAAGAGGAACATTTGCATTTATGTGGAAAATGTTTGACGTTACACGGTATATGAAACTGGACCAACATGAGCATTTTCACCTCATTGCAGTGTCAGTTATTTCTGCCCATGTGTATTGACTTTGTCCACCTTAACTTTACGTTTACAATTAATTAGATTGTACTGTCACTTTACTGTTAGAATTTTTTTTAATAAATTACGTGGCGAGATTTCCCTCAGAGATCGGACAATAACACGTATAGATTATGCTTTTACTGCACAGAAGAGATGAATGGCTGCCACTGTGATATCTAGCCCAACCGGGGGGGGGGGGGGGACTAAAACTCATTACAATTTTGCAACGAGTCTCATGTGTGCAGCACCCTTGTTTTATTATTTGGTGATGTGACTCAGTTTCAGGACAACTGAACTCCGCGACAGTTTAAATTGTTTTACAGCCATACTTTCTGTGGAGCTGGCTGTTGAATACTCTAATGCCTCAGAGGCTTTTGTTACGCCAATGTAGAATACTTGATTTCAATATGAGAACATCATTAAAGTTATAAGGAAAAAAAAAAGACAGCGAAATTTTGGGTAATTTTAAAATATGCCACGAAAGTTGGAGCTCTACTAAAGACATAAAACAATAGATAAATACATTAGAAACCAAAAGCCTCGGAAAATTGAAAAAAAAAAAAATCATTTGAAGTGAATTTCAGAAGGGTCAATAAATCACAGAATTTTATGGAAAAGCGCTAGTATAACGATAATAAAAGGAAAATTGTGGCGATATTTTGGATTGCGTGCATTCTAAACAAGAAATACTACAACAGACAGATACCATACAAGTTATAACAACACAATAAGTTAACAAGTAAAAAAAAAACAGACAGACAGACAGTTGTTTGTCACAGCAACTGCTGAAAATCTGTCCTTAGAGATTAAGTGTTTGAGTTGAAAGCGTGATTTTCTCAAGAGCTCCAGCAGAACGAACGTAGAAGTAAAGGCACTTAACAACTGTGTCTACATAGACCGAGTTTTGAGTGAAATCGATTTGTCTATAACCACGTTAAAGGAAAACAATGAACGAATTAGCCCCCATGTACACAATGTATTCACCCGCCATTAGCACTGGACAATTGCAGTCTTTCATCTGTGTATTTACTCCGTAGTGCTGCGTGTCCCAGGCCTCAATATGTAAAACGTGTCCACACAAGAAGGAACAAAACCTCTTTGGTCTATCTCAACAAGAAGTCGGAATTCTATGGGTCAAGAACTAGTGAAGCAACTAGCAACATCTAGACCCGCAGACTGTCTCTGAAGTAGCGGAAGTGAATGAATCTACAGTTTACAGTTTGTGAGACATCGTGCACTGCACACGTTACTAATAACTAAGTGAAAAGTACATAATTAGTTGTTAAGTTGCTGTCCTATAAATACCAGTTGTGATCGTTCTGCGCCCATTTTGAAGTGGGCTTTATGTACTCACTGTGAAAGCTATTTTTGGCGTATCTTTGAACACTGGGGTAGTGTGTGTGTGTGTGTGTGTGCGTGCGTGCGTGTGCGTGTGCGCGTGCGCGTGTGCGTGTGCGTGTGTGTGGGAGGGGCTGTTGAGACTGGACGCTAAGTGTTCTCTAACCACGACCTTTGTCTACTATTTCTAAATATGTTTTTATACATTTACTGTTATTTCAAGTATATAATTGTATTTATTTGGAATTTAGTACATAGTAGTGGGAGCAGTAGTAGCAGCAGCAGCAGTAGTAAATATTAATTTTTCGCACTTAAATAAGGCATACGGCCAGTGAGCACCGCTCCCCAGAAAAGTAAAGGGTCGGGGGGGGGGGGCGTATGAGGCACCTCATTCCTCCCACTCTAAAAGATTTCTTGCCGGCTACAAGCCTGTGCAACCACACATGTACAAGCTGCAGCGTGTGTGTGGGAGGGGCTGTTGAGACTGGACGCTAAGTGTTCTCTAACCACGACCTTTGTCTACTATTTCTAAATATGTTTTTATACATTTACTGTTATTTCAAGTATATAATTGTATTTATTTGGAATTTAGTACATAGTAGTGGGAGCAGTAGTAGCAGCAGCAGCAGTAGTAAATATTAATTTTTCGCACTTAAATAAGGCATACGGCCAGTGAGCACCGCTCCCCAGAAAAGTAAAGGGTCGGGGGGGGGGGGGGCGTATGAGGCACCTCATTCCTCCCACTCTAAAAGATTTCTTGCCGGCTACAAGCCTGTGCAACCACACATGTACAAGCTGCAGCGTATTTAGTTGTGTCCGACCCCTGATAAACAACTATTGTCTGTGATCAGTCAACAGTGAAGTAACTTAAAGATCCCTTTTCACGCCTCTGATGTGGATCGGGCATATCGAAAAAGCACCCATACTTTTACAGACCATTCGGCACAATTTGGGTAATGTGGTCAGCATAACGTCGGCCGTCTTTACTTTCCCAGAACATACATCCTGATACCCATTTTAGGCTGGGTCGACCTGCGATGTCCGATACCACGATAAAAATCCACGCAGCAAGCAGTGGGTTTCGATCGCGGTACGTTGGAAATACGCAACGCCTAAACCACGGACGCCGATGATCAGTCAACAGGGCTCTTAGAAAACAAAAAGCATGGCTGCATTAGTTAGTGAACAAACGACAATCCTAGTTTCTGTTGCTTTCAGCTAAACACAAAAGGAGGAGCACAGATTCAATACAGTGATTTTGGTGATCACTGTGAATTTAAACGGCTTTTACTGAAAGCAGAGAGAGAGAGAGAGAGAGAGAGAGAGAGAGAGAGAGAGAGAGAGAGAGAGAGAGAGAGAGAGAGAGATAGAGAGAGAGAGAGAGAGAGAGAGAGAGAGAGAGAGAGAGAGAGAGAGGAAAAGAGAGATAGATATAGAGAGAGAGTATTAAACGTAGGATAAGTTATTGTATGCATAAACAATGAAAAATAATTAATGGTTTAAAGCCTAGAGAATTAACTTAATTGCAATGCACCGGGCTGTATCCCATAAGGTTCTGCCTATCAACGCAGAAAAGCTAGGCGTCTGCCTTAGCACGAAACCCATAGCTCCAGCGACGATCCCTAGTGATATGTGTAAAATTTGTACCAGTAAAACCGAAAAACAGTCTTTGAAACGAATGTTGAAAGTTGGATTAAGAATCGACATCACAGCACTCGGGACACTCCCATAATCACTCCCTCCCCAAGATTTCTAATTCCGATGGTACCAGTAACTGACTAAATACGTCTCACCTGTCCATTGAGGCGTTGAGCGTCGGCCAGATCCCCTGATAACTCATGGCAGCGCCATTCTCCTCAGTCCGTTGAAACAAACCTACGACGACCCTCAGACCTCGAGGAAAACGGCAGAACCTCTTAGAACTTACCTTCACCAAGTTACCACCCCCTTACTAGTGTATCTCATATGGAAGACAAGTGTTCTAGTGCCAGTTGAAGGTCTTATTCTGCTTGTCATTCACAGAGAGCCGAGAGACAGCCTACATCTACGCCATCTCATCAGCGGGCATCATGTACAGTATCACGCGTGCATGCGCCAAGGGAGAACTGGACAACTGTGGATGCGATGGCAAAGTTCCACATCATGACACAGGGGCCGATTTTGAGTGGGGTGGATGCTCTGACAACATCCGCCACGGGGCCAGTTTTTCCAAGGAGTTTCTGGATTCTGACGAAATTAAGAATAAAGACCACGGCAGCATGAATTTGTGGAACAATGCAGCGGGTCGAAAGGTGATGCTCATTTTCCTATTGTGTTGTAATAATTATCCAGATTGTACAAGAAAAGGGGGTTGAGTCCCCATGGGTGGGAAAAAAGGGGAGGGGGGAATGATTAGGTAGGTGTGAGCAAGTTTTAATATTTCACACTTTTGAAACTTGAAGGTCGGGAGGTCGGTTTCTAGAATGTAATTCCAAGCCTCCGCAATGGGATTACCTTTGACTTAATATTTTGTATCGCTTTGCAATAGTTTTGCTTTTTGAATGTTCTGAGACTGCCTTGAATATGATACATGGAAGACAAGTCATCGCAATCTAGGGTCCAGTGCCCCTTGTGAAGGAGGGGAAGGGAGCGAACATACACAATCTGAACACATGTGTAACAACAACGACTGATTAGGATTTGTTGAATCTCGTGTATTAGGCCAACAGGCGCAGATATCGCAGCCTAGCTGTAAACCAAAACACAACGTGTCAACTGCACTTTTAAAGTCGAACACAGAAGAGAGAACAAGAATATATTGGCGATGATGACGACAACAATGATAATGATGATAACACACATCATGTTAACAACTATGACATCCCATCACCCGCCTTGTGATGATTGTTTATAAATATTTGAGTCTAGCCAATGGCTTTAGTTGGGTTCTTTGCTTTACGCTTATTTCAATGAGAATAAAAGTATCAGAGCGGCGCCCTATTAGGCTCCGACACGACTGCATTACTGACTTCAGTCTCAGTCTACTTGACTAATCTAATGATGATGGAGGTCACAACCGCCTTAACAGCATCTTGGGCCACTGGGTAAACAAGTGTGCTGGTAGCCATGAGACAACCACTGGGTAAACAAGTGTGCTGGTAGCCATGAGACAACCACTGGGTAAACAAGTGTGCTGGTAGCCATGAGACAACCACTGGGTAAACAAGTGTGCTGGTAGCCATGAGACAACCACTGGGTAAACAAGTGTGCTGGTAGCCATGAGACAACCACTGGGTAAACAAGTGTGCTGGTAGCCATGAGACAACCACTGGGTAAACAAGTGTGCTCGCAGCCATGAGACAACCACTGGGTGAAGCTGTCAGCACAGTGACAGAGTACATGCTAACACGTCCACACTTGACTGATTGTTATTCTTGTTGTTGGTGGTGAAGTTGTCAGCACAGTGACAGAGTACATGCTAACACGTCCACACTTGACTGATTGTTATTCTTGTTGTTGGTGGTGAAGGTGTCAGCACAGTGACAGAGTACATGCTAACACGTCCACTCTTGACTGATTGTTATTCTTGTTGTTGGTGGTGAAGGTGTCAGCACAGTGACAGAGTACATGCTAACACGTCCACACTTGACTGATTGTTATTCTTGTTGTTGGTGGTGAAGTTGTCAGCACAGTGACAGTGTACATGCTAACACGTCCACTCTTGACTGATTGTTATTCTTGTTGTTGGTGGTGAAGTTGTCAGCACAGTGACAGTGTACATGCTAACACGTCCACTCTTGACTGATTGTTATTCTTGTTGTTGGTGGTGAAGTTGTCAGCACAGTGACAGAGTACATGTTAACACGTCAACACTTGACTGATTGTTTTTCTTGTTGTTGGTGGTGAAGGTGTCAGCACAGTGACAGAGTACATGCTAACACGTCCACACTTGACTGATTGTTATTCTTGTTGTTGGTGGTGAAGTTGTCAGCACAGTGACAGAGTACATGCTAACACGTCCACACTTGACTGATTGTTATTCTTGTTGTTGGTGGTGAAGTTGTCAGCACAGTGACAGAGTACATGCTAACACGTCCACACTTGACTGATTGTTATTCTTGTTGTTGGTGGTGAAGGTGTCAGCACAGTGACAGAGTACATGCTAACACGTCCACACTTGACTGATTGTTATTCTTGTTGTTGGTGGTGAAGGTGTCAGCACAGTGACAGAGTACATGCTAACACGTCCACACTTGACTGATTGTCTTCCACAGACAATCAAAGACGACACTGACATCCAGTGCAAGTGCCACGGCGTGTCCGGGGACTGTTCTGTGAAGATCTGCTGGCGGAAGATGCGCTCCTTTCGGGAGATTGGAGCTGCCCTGAAGCAGAAATTCGATGGAGCTAGTTTTGTCCGCTGGGACAAAAAACGGAACCGCTTGAAGCGATACACGGGCAAACAAAAGCGCCCAACAAAGAAAGACCTTGTTTACCTCGCTGAGTCGCCCGACTTTTGTGAATATAATCCAGACTATGGGTCGTTGGGTACTAGGGGACGGCAGTGCAACAAGTCCAGCTACGGACTCGACGGCTGTACTCTGATGTGTTGTGGCCGGGGATATCAAACTTTAGTCATAGAAGAAAGACAAGACTGCGACTGCAAGTTTCACTGGTGCTGCAGAGTTGAGTGTAAGAAATGCACCAAAGTTATAGAGAAGCATTATTGTAACTGAGTATTTTACTGTAACAGTTCGCGGTTCTCATGTTTTGGAGATCAGCAAGTTGTGAAACTGCACGGCTCAGTCCATGTCCTGATTTACACTGATATGTTGTGTTCATAAAATGGATGCCAAAAAGACAGTTGAGGCTAATCTGGGAGCAGTGGTCTCAGTTTTAAGATTCATGGTTGTGGAAACACACTGTGGTATAGCACCTGTTGTTTCTGCTTCATTTGACCCATTGTGGTTCTTGTTGTAAAAGCGTATCGTGTGGGGTAGTGATGCGCATGCATTTTGTAAGACAGGAAGTCACTGTAAGTTTCTTTTTTTTTTTGTTGTTGTTGTTGTTGTTTGTGTTTGTGTACAGTGTTAAAATTCTCGCGTTATTTCAATTTTAATGCTGTTTTAATTTTAACACTGTTCTATTTCTGACGCTATACCTGTCTAGCATTTGCTAGTGAAAGTTGAAGAATCACTGAGGACATGGTAAAAATGCATGTCGAAATTGCTGAAAATTAAATGGTTTGAATTGAGAAAAAGGAAGGAATAAGAAGTAAAACAGCTAATATTGGCAGTCATAATAGAAAGAGATCAATATTCTGGGAACCATTTGAAGAAAAGTACACAGAAAGCGCGGAAAATGCTATTCTAACCTCATGTCTCTGTGAGGGACAAAGTCCCAACTGCACCTCCTCGCAGTGGAGGCTGGACAAGCATCTCGGTGCGGCTAACACAGTTTTGGGGCACCAGGATAATCAAACACCTCTGAGGTGCTTTAAGCTGTTGGCAGATTGCCGAAAGCTGAGATTCTAAACTATTTCAATGTGAAAAGCAAAGGGAGACTACTATATATATATATTTATATATGTCCCTAAAACTCTTAGAAGAAGCAGGCAGGGCTAAACAGCATAGTGAACATATGACAGATCACTTGCTGGTTAAAGTACACTTTTTGAATTAGTTGTGTGTGGGTTGGGGGGGGGGGGGGGGGGGGGTCAAAGCTTTTAAACTGAATTGCTACAGAAAAAGTCTTAGACAACCATGGACCAAGAAGAACAAAAATAGTTCTATATAACCTATTTTCGTCTTTTTAGGACGAAATTTTTTGTCATTTGAAGCCCCACCCTGGCTTTTGCCAGGGGCCGCAATATAGGCAGGCCATACATATGGCCAATTGTCTGAACGCGGTTTCTGGGACCTCTCCACGGCGATCCTCATCCACATGGTGGCACTTTATGTTTATCGCTTGTGTGATGTATTAGTGGAGTAGTCAGAAAAATAATATGAGAGTCGTTGTTACAAGTCGTTCCCATGTCGGATGCAAATTTTTGTTCCCCCGAAGCCCACCCTAGCTTCTGCCGGGGACCCTGAATATAGCCGGTGCATAGATAGGGCCCAGCCCTAGATCTGGCTAAAGGACTGAAAAGGGGTTTCTGGGACCTTTCCACAAGTGATCCTCATCCACATGGTGGCACTTTGTTGTCACCGGGTGTTTATCGCTTGTGTGATATCCTGGTGGGGTACAACTTACCCTACCTAAGAGACACAAAGAGAAACCGACGACTAACTTTGATGAAAGAGATCAAAGGCGTCACACTGGACATCATACAGTAATGTAGAGGGTAACATAAATTAGATTAATCTACTATTAATGCCAGATGTTTTTGACATATAAACATCATAAACGGATTATGATGGTAGTAAATCTATTCCATGACTTTTCTACTCTGTGACAAGTAGTTATTTGGTTAACTCTGCTGTGACAGTTAGGTGGCCTGCCAATCAGTACCCTGTGATACGCTGTTTTGAAGCTGCTTCCGAAAAGTAACATGAAATGTTACAGACAACTCTCTGGCACGCTGACTAAGAAAATGTCAGCTCATAACTAGCTACCCAGTAACAATTTACTTGTAAAAAGTTTTAAGGCGACCTTTTTAGCTGAAGTAGTGTTGCAGTTACATCAATGGCCTGCGGAATCAGTGGTCCAGTTTTAGTACGTACCACAAGATAGAATGACTATCATTTTTCGGATCAGCATTACTCTGGGGTCTAACTAATCCCATGCAATGGGTACGGGTAATTGAGAAGTTTTCCCTGAAAAGGAGGGGAGAGGGGGGGGGGGGGGGGGACCGACAAGGAAGGGACGCAAGCCATATCGACTTGTATGTTGTGGTAAGGTATACATGAAAGTCTTAACACTTTACACATCAGCGGCAGTAACTGCAGTGCAACTATTTAACATTAAACCGTCTTTTACTTCCCTTATTTCTAGGGACTTGAAGGTAGGGTCTACATGCCTATAAACAGGTATCTATGTATGTGTGTGTTTTATTTTTCATAGAAAGAAAGGGGCGGTACTCGTCATAAAGTGTTTTTAAAAAAATACTTACCACAAATTGTCAATTACAGGAGCGCTGAAAGAAATAACTCCTACACTAAGGTGCCGGTACTGGTCACCCATATGTACCGCAGTAATAAAGCTCTGCCTATATGCTACTTCCAGAGGTGGGGGAGGGGAAGACAAGAAAAGGAGTAGTGCAGTGGTTAATGGTAATTGTAGTTAGTCTAGTATGGTCGGCGTGATGTTAACCACATCACTCACCGAATGCCGACTGGTCTGTCTAGGCAATACAGGTCTAGCCCTATGTGCTCAATACACCTGAAGGCTTGTAAAATAGTCCTTTTCTTACCCTACTGTTGCTCTTCAGGAGCCGCCTGCGGATCGGAAGGTCGTTGGTTCGGTTCCAGGCGTGGGCCGGACTTTCTTAAAAAATGACTCTGGCTTCCAGGACGGCCTAGCCTTGAGTGGGAAGCAGAGGCGGCCGGCATGATGTTGACCATATCATCCACAGGGTGCCGTTTGGTCTATAACATCTAATTCTAGCTCTATGTACACAACACGCCTAAAGAAAGTGGCCCTTTACTTTTACTGTTGCTGTTCTTGGAAACCCCTGGTAGTCTGGTAGCTAAACGTTTGCCTGCTGACCCCCATGGTCAAGGGTACAAATCCGCAGCCTAGAGGATTATTTTCCAAACTGACATTGGCTCTCATGTCGACCATACCAAAAGTTAGCAATAAGCAACGTCCCGGGAAGTCGACCTGGCCGACATGATGCTCACCAACCACCCATGGAGTCCCAGTTGGTTTTCACAAGGTTAACACTATAAGCTCAATATGCCACATAGGCTTGTTTTTAAACTTTACTGCTATTTACATTACTTTAGGCACAGACAGATAAGTTAAACATTCTCGTTTGCCAACAGGCACCAGCATAATGGTCTGCATGTATTACAACAGATCAGTGAATACAATTCCCAGTCAAAATCTGCCCACAATAGTTTTAGTTAGAACAGTCATCATCATCATCTTCTTCTTCTTCTTCTTCTTCTTCTTCTTCTTCTTCTTCTTCTTCTTCTTCTTCTTCTTCTTCTTCTTCTTCTTCTTCTTCTTCTTTCTTTCTTCTTCTTCTTCTTCTTCTTCTTTCTTCTTCTTCTTTCTTCTCTTCTTCTTCTTCTCTTCTTCTTCTTCTT